GTTTGAATCGCGCATGGGAAACAGAAGATTGGCAGTTTTCCCGAAGTCTACTGATTGTACCAAAAGTAAGAACCCCCGAAGTTCGCAACGAGCTGCACAACGGTCCAAGCGGAGGACACACGGGTATCACTAAAACCTTGAAGAAATTAAAACAAAGATTTTATTGGATTGGTTGTCGTCAATCAGTTACGGAGTGGATCGACAATTGTGTCGAGTGCATTGCTGCTGAAGAGCTAAGTCCCACGAGCCATGGTCAGAGGAAGCAGTACAATTCGAATGCGTCATTTGAGCGAATTGCCATGAATGTAGCTGATCCATTTCCTTACAGTCAATTAGGAAACAAATATGTTTCGGTTGTTATGGACAATTTCAGCAAATGGCTAGAGGTATACGTAATTCCTAAGCAAGGAGCAGGAACAGTAGCGGATGTATTCATCAACAATTGGGTATCGAGATATGGTGTTCCAATAGAAGTACATTCTCACTAAGGGAGTGATTTTGAATCAGCTATAATTCAGGAGATGTGCCAGAAACCCGTACGAATGCACTACATCCGCAGTCCGATGGCATGGTAGAACGATTCAATAGAACTTTGGAAGAACATTTAAGGAAAGTTGTGTAATACCCATATATACTTATTCCTGATGGCTTATCGTCTGCTGTACATGAAACAACGGGGCAGACTCCAGCAAGGGTAATTTTTGGTAATGATTTTCAAACCGATGGATTTGAAATTTGAAAGTAACACCAACGGAGGAAAGAATGGTAAGGAAGTCAGCACACATTATAGAAGACAAGAAGATATACATGCTATAGTGAGACAACGCACCAAAATTATGAGCGATAAAATGAAAGCAAACTACGACAAGGCAATGAACTTTGAGGGTTTTATTGAAGACGATTGGATATTGTTATATAACCCGATTCAACGAAAGAAAGTTATATCTCCTAAATTACATTGTAATTGGGAAGGAGCGTAGAAGGTTATTAAACGGCTCAACGATGTAGCGTATTGCATACAAGATACAGTGATCGAACTCAAGTGTCAGCCCCGGATAATAAAATATTTTCGATTAAACCGATTGGGCAGAAATTTGTATAGATTATTCTTCTCATCAATAGCTCTTACAGGTACTGGGACAGCCTGATTTCTACATAAAATATAATCACCTTTTTTTGAATTAAACCTTTTTTTTATTTTTCAACGAAATTGTTTTATCCGAGTCCCAACCAGACAAGCTCACAGAACAATAATCGTTTTGACTTTTCTATTTCAGATGTCCTCAAGCGATCAAATCACCGCAGCCAGACACCTCAATTTTTGCGACGCTCACTTCAGTGCTACGAAACAACAAATTTTAAAAAAGGAACGACAAATTTTTTTGTATACCATGAGATACTACCACTAATATATAACAAAATAAAACTGATTGAATTTGATTTTTTTCACATAAAATATTCCCAAAAAGTTACCAGACAACTACCTTAAATTGTATTACCACTTTTTTGTATGTAATATACATACATGAGTGCAAATATGCATAATAAGGTGACGAACACGGATGAGGAAAAATCAATTGGTCTGAAATCCCTTGAATTAGTGTGCCTGCCTTTGGTATATATATCACCTTGACTTTCCTCCATAACCTAATCAAGCATCGGTGTTTACCAGTTTACAATAGGGTACTTTGTTTCCACTTCACTGCCCAGTGTATGCTCCATTGTGTGTGAATAATTATGGTACAATGTTAGCACTCACGAAAGACATGTTATTTCCCCTTTTTCATAAAACGCTTTTTTTAGGTTTATATTAAAAATGTTTATTTTTTATTTTTTTTATTAAATGTTATTTTTCACAACCTTTGAACTAAAAGTTAATACCACGATTTTAAAGAGGTCGGTAGCGGAGAAAGCGATTACACGGTGACGTTGCGCAAAAGAGATCGGAATTATTTCGAATGTTTAAGGTTGATGTGGCGCTCAGGCCGTAGACGAAAAACGAATGTAAAGGTAGTATGTTGTGTTGTCCTGTGTGGTGTCATCTGGTGTGGTGTATTGGTGAGTATGTGTTGGGCATTATTAGGGGGCGCCAGTTTTTCTCGAGTAGAGTGGTGTACTTGGAGGAGGGAGTTTAACTCATTTAAACAGTGTGGTTCCCTGATCTGTCTGGAAAGTGAGTATCCATTAGCAGGCCTAGAGACTCTTCACTGGATACCGTCCACCTGCAGTCTGGCTTCTGAAGATATTTGATGTTATGTATCGACTGTGCTATTATTTTTCTATTCTCTCGATATCATTACAAAAAGATTTCCACGAATTTATTTTTGCCTTCCTCACCTCTTTCTTATATGACCTTAAGAGGTTATAATAGTTATTCTACTCCTTTTATTTGCGTCCGTCTTCCAGCTTACTGCTGTGGTGTCTTTATTGCTATAGCTGTGTAATAAAAAGACATTAAGATTTTTACTAGCTAGTATACATGTCCTCGCCTTACCTACGCAGCTTGCTATGTATAAATTATAACCCATGACTCCTGAATGGGGACGAAGTCAGGCCATTCTTCTGCCATGCGGTTAACTAGGGCTAGAGAAGTTAGTTTCCGACGCCAAGTTGTTGATTTCCCCGGCTCTCTGGTGCAGCGGGGTTGTCGAAGGACAAGCATACATTCAAATTGCACCAAATGGAGCAGCTTAAAGTTAGTGTGTGTATGCTTGCATAGTGTATGGATAAGCGAAAAAGGGCAAAGCTTCCGAGCTCTTACGATTGTTCCAAATGTGAGAATTCCTGTAGTTGTCAACCAGCTGCACAACGGTCCATGTGGAGGGCACTTGAAAGTTACGACGACCTTGGAGAGATTAAAGCAAAGGTTTTATTGGGTTGGTTGTCGGCCAGATATGCTGAGTTCATTAAAGCTAAAGGCTTGAGGTTCAAGACTCGTTGCCAGATAAAGCAGTACAATTCGGGTGCGCCATTTGAGTGAACTGTCTCAAATGTACATGGCCCATTTCTACAATTAAATATGAAAGCACATATGTCTTGGTAGTCAAGATCTATTTCAGCGAATGGCCATAGGTATACCCAATTCCTAATTAAGAGGCTGAGCAAGTAGCGGTGTTGGTCAGCAAATTAGTAACGAGATGTGGTATTCCAATGAAAGGAATTTCGAATCATCTTTACTTCAGGAGATGTGCTAAAAACTGGGTACTAGGGAAACTCGTAAAACTGTATGCACTCCGATGACATGGTACAAGGATTGAGTTGAACTTGGTCAGCAAGTGAGTAACGAGATGTGGTATTCCAATGAAAGGAATTTCGAATCATCTTTACTTCAGGAGATGAACTAAAACCAGTCTAATCAGTTAACTGTACATGAAACAACGGGTTAGACTCGGCAAAATTCGGCAACCGATTGATTGTCAGTTTCGAAATAACGTCAATGAATGAAGGACGGCTTAGGAGATCAAAAGCACCCTAGAAGACGAGTTGACAAACATAAAACACGATTGGTACAGCAAATATGTCTAATCGGGACAATCGGACTTTGGTGGAGTATAGATAGTTTGCAAGAATCATCAAACACCGAAATACTGACTAAATTGAATCCCGATAGGTGGTTTGTATGGAAGATACCTGCTATTGCGCAAATGATTTTTATACTCTTGCAATATGTTGCTACAAAGTATAATCATTTTGTTCACCTAACGATTATATGGTACATATAAAATTATTCAAGATAGATATATGTTTATATATATATAAATGATCAGGATCCGTCCGTCTGTGTGCGCAAGCTGTAACTTAAGTAAAAATTGAGATATCGCAATGAAACCACTGATGGCGTGATGGGACCACTGAAACGTTCTACAAAACGCTATTAATCAAAAACATATAAATTGTCATAACTAAACCGAAAATTACAATACAAAACTTTAAGTCGGTACAACGAATCGCATGACGAGGGGCATCTGTGGTGTGAAAATT